CCCCAAAAAAAAAAACAACCTCCCAAATATATATGTATATATTCTTTGATTTCCTTCATGATTTGGGGTATATAATAATCTCCTTTTACGAAAAGTTAATTAAAACGTGATGAAAATCCATTGTCCGTAAGAAGAATACAGGCATTCGAATGTTCTACCACGCTTCCAATAACTGTGAAATGCACTAAAAATATCGTGCGTGTTGAACCGTTTCGGGACATATACCCGATAGAATGGCCCCTTAACCGGTTATATCTGCACATAACATCGTGTAAGCCAGCATCTATGGTGTAGAGGTGAGGTGTTTCGCTACCCAACGTAGAAGGCCCGAATTCAATTCCCAAGTGGGAAGAGCTTTATCAAGTATCTCGGTCTTTCTACTGGGAATTTGAGTATTCCTTTCAGCCCGGGCTGGTCCTGAGAGACAGGGTCGGAAGCCCGTCTCCTAAACAATCTAATTTATAGTTGTCTCAATAGAAGCTTCAAAGACACATATTAAAAACAAAACTATACCAAAAAGCCAAACCAAAAAACCAAAAAACAACCGAAAAAAACCGCAAGCAAACAATAAAAGCAGAGAAAAAAGAATATCGTGTGAGATTCGCTCCGAAAGAGTTAATCGTACAGTCAATGGAGCACGTGTCTACTGGCAGGCTGCCACACGTTCTCGACAAGCTCTCAGTCACGGAGTAGCATCTTACGGCCTCACAATGCCCTCTTTGCGTGCTAGCTGTGAGCACTTTGATGCTGATCCAGATTTTTTGTCGCCGCTCGCCAACTTGTGAGCACACACAGGGACCAAGCCTTGAGCAAGCACGATTACGTACAATCTGATTTTGTTTTTTGTTTGCCCTTTCAAAGATTAATTAAAATGTCTGGTGCTTTTTTAACGTTTTGTGGCGTTTTTCGACTTTGGGATTACTTACATGCTTTCATTATTTATTTATTTATGTATTTATTTATTTATTTTAGAAACTATAAATGGCACAATGACTCAAACGAGTCAGCTGACGTAGAATGTCCGGAATGTGGATTACAGCTGTGTTACAGAATGTACTTAAACTCGTGCGTAAATACAAAGATCTACTTGCATATTTTCTCTCTCTCTCTCTCTCTCTCTCTCTCTCTCTCTCTCTCTCTCTCTCTCTCTCTCTCTCTCTCTCTCTCTGTCTGTCTGTCTTTCTCTATCTATCTATCTATCTATCTATCTATCTATCTATCTATCTATCTATCTATCTATCTATCTATCTATCTATCTATCTATCTATCTATCTATCTATCTAGTTATCTATCTATCTATATGCATAGGCCATGTGCGTTGTTTTTAGTTAAGGTAAGAGTTTTTATCGAGCAGATAGAACTTTGTAATTGTGAGAAAGGGACTTGCAACACAATCAAGGTATATCTAAATGCTGGAGATTATAGGCGAGTGGCATACAAAGAAAAGAACGAGGAGAGATAAGGAAGAAAGATGTTTTAGGAAAGAAGTAGCAAACCACACAAGGGCATCTGCCAGCCACCCACGTGTGGTGTTAATGGTACACGTGAGAACAAACGACTTCAGGCTTTTGAGTGAATCTCCAGGTCACTGCATCGCCACAGTTATATTACAGGGACGTTGTAATTTGTCAACAGGCCAACTGGAATCTTAAACGGGGTGCTCCCTACGGATGGGATCGGCCGACCGGACCGATCGCCCTACTCGGTCGCCCGACTCGATCGCCTGAAACTGAAAATAAAGACTTTTGTTTTGGGGCGATCGAGTAGGGCGATCGGCCCGATCTGCCGATCCCATCCGTAGTGGGCACCCCGTATAAAAATCAAACGTGTTTATTTTCAATTTCAGGCGACCGAGTCGGACGATCGGCCCAATCCAGCCGTAGTGGGCACATCGTATTAACACTTTGGCTCAATCTTTTAAAATTTCTCTGATAAAATAAGTCACATGCGATTATGACGCTGAAGGAAAATAAAAAGGATTGTTTAGATTTATTTTGTGTTTGTAGGTTTTTTTGGAATTATTAATAGATGCATGCCCATATCCGAGTGGTGTATGTTGTTTTGGGTACAAGAGAAAACCAGACGTTTCCGATTTCTGAAAACATTTTTTTTCGCAAAGGCGACTATGTCACCACAATTTAGTGACGTATTGAAATTATGGGACAATGCCAATTGGAACTCTGCGGAATTGAAGGAAAAAAGCGTGATCATGAATGAATGGGCCAGCTTCTTTTTTGTAAGAAAATCGACATTTCTGCCACATGGCAGGAACAAATGATTAATTCAATCGAAAAGCACTTAACGAGGGACAGGCTAAAGTACATGTGTGTTTAATTAAGGAACCCCTCCGCCCCACCCCCACCGTTTCCTCTTTTTATTCACATAAACAATATTTCAACCCTTTTTGCTAAATTTCGTAAGAATATCATTCGAATTCGTTTAATTCAGAATCGAAAATGGGTCATGTCCTCAATCCCGGTAGGTCTGTTTCAGGCTTCTT